ATACCCAGCGGAGTGTGCTCCTTAGACTTCCGGCCCTGCTGCAATAGCCTCTGATCTAATGCCATTCTGGCTTCCCAGCTGTCCCAAAGATAGATGCTTTCACCAAGTGTGTTAACCAGCAGTATGGCACAAAGTGCCGCAGGCTTGGTGGCTTAAAGCAATGGAAACTCGCCTTTCACAGTCCTAGAGGGTGAAAGTCTGGTCCCTTGTGTGGGCTCAGAGGGAAAGCTGGGCTCTGATCCCTTCGTTTCTCTTTGACAGTCATCTTCCTGTCCTGTTGACACTGTCCTTCCTGACATAGGTCTCCATTTTCAAGAACACTGTGTTGGCTTACCCTAGCGTGACGTCACTTTAACAAAGTATGTCTTCAGCAAACCTGCTTCTGAATAGTTTAGTGATCTGTATCCCCCAGTATAAGACATCAACATGTGAGTTTCCGGATGATACAGCTCAGTCCACAGCACCCGAGGGGTTTGCTCTGCAGAGTTCTAGCTGCAGCATCGCCATGTGACCGGCTACGGGTGATGCCCGGGTCTGTCCACAAGCTCAGAGCAAATGAGAACGGACCATCCCTCCCTTTGTGCCACTCGACTCTTCCGTGGCCCATCAGTTCATCTGAATGACTTCAGTGTTTTAATTATGTTTTATCTATTTTAGTGTGGGGCTCTGTTCCCATGCTCAGACTGTAGTCTCATTTACAGTGGGGTCCCCGAATTTCTGTCCTGGAGCCTCTACTGTGGCACCTTACAGTTACTTTCAGCTCATTGCCATCACTATAATGAAACACCTAAGGCTGTGTGTCTTATAAAGAAAATGTTTATTTAGGTCACAGTTCTCAGGTTTCCAGAAACCACTTGTGTTAATGGTCTCACTGACTCAATGTCCTGAAGTAGTAGTGCAGGGCACGCTGAAAGTCCAGGAGTGTGCCCACATGGGCCTCCTTGGCCTCTGCCTCACTCAGTGTAGAGCCAGCAGAGTGCCCTGATAAACCCCACCTAATGTCAATCATTGTGAAAGGTACCACCTCTTACACTATATTCAGGTCGAGTCCCAGCCCTTAATACCTAGCAATGGAAATCAAATCTCCATGGCTGGACCCAAACTGCAGAAGGAGCAGACCTAAGGCATGATGGGAGTGGAAGACACAAGGCCCCAATTGCACAGATGACGTCTACACACACACCTGGCTGGAGACTACTCAGTTTCAGGAGTTGGGGGCACAGGAGGCAAACTGAGGACATCAGACACCACAAGTAGCACACGGTGGTACCATGTTTCAGCGATGCTTAACACACAGGCAAACAAAGGCAGAGGTCACAGGCAGATGAAGGCAGAGATCACAGGCAGAGGTCACAGGTAGAAGTCACAGGCAGAGGTCACAAGCTAATATTTTCTGTTTTGCTCTGTTTTTTAAAAGCTGAATCTGAGGGAGAGACATAGGTGATTCTGAGAGTGACTTTAATTGTGCAGCAATAAGTCTGTGTTGTGATAGAATCTCAGTCCCAATTGGTTTTTATTAAAATCATCTTGCTCCAAGCCACAAAGGAACAAAAGAAGAAAAGATGAAAGATAGTAGCGGAAGACACACTCTGGTCCTGTCCAGGCACTGGGGATGAACAGCATTTCTCTCAGTGAGGCTGCCCATCTGCCAGTAATTTTTTTCTTTTTATTCTTCAATGATAGAAAATTTCACTTATTACTCTGGAACGTTCTAAATATGCAGCACACACATGGCAGGGGTGGGTTGGGGTGGGGTGGATAGGGGGCAGGGAGCATCTACTGTTCAGATCCTACCTAGAAGCAGTGAAATCCCTAACCCAGATCAAGATGTCCTTGGCGCTTGCAACACCCTAGAATTGGGAGGCGACAGGGGCCCTTAGCTGCCTCTCCTGATGAAGTTTTAGACCATCTCATTAAAATGAAAAGCAATAGACTGTTTTTCTCTTTTTCCCCGTGAAGCTGCATCTTGCAGCAGGTTTCTGTGGTGTGGAGTGTTCGGGTAACAGTGGTTACGTGCCCATTTTCTTCTTGGATCTGTTCTTCTGCCTTTGGGTCTTTTGGGATCAGCTCAGGGCCCCAGCAGGAGCTGCTGCACTCGGGAGGGTTGGGTTGGTTAGAGCCTGGGGACAAGAAGTACAGCCCAGGGAGATCCCAGATTTCCTTACCATTGGCACTCCTCCTCCTCCCATGTGAGTCCCTTTACCAGAGCTGACTGGTTACCTAGTGGGAACACTTATGGGCACTAGGTGGGGAAAACCATTCTCTTCCACTTTTATATGTGGTTCTCAGGGTGCAGAAAGGAACGACTTGATCTCAAGTGTGATCATATTGTGAACTGTGGCTGGTCTCCTCCAAGGCAGTTAAAAGTACTTGCTGCTCTTCCAAGGGACCTGAGTTCAGTTTCTGCCATCCACATCAGGTGGCTCACAGCTGCCTGTAACTCCGACTCCAGGGGCTCCAATGCCTTCTGGCTGGCCTCTGCAGCTACCTTCATGTACATGGATCCACTCACACAGATGCACACACATACACACAAGTAAAAATTAAAAATTAAAAAAATGTTCTTGTGTACTGGGACTAGCACGGTGTGGTGGGCTTTCGAGTTATGTATGCTTGTCTTGCTGCAAGCTTCACCCAGTCTTGGCCAGTAGCTCTATGCCTTTTATCTTGATTCCTCCCTTGAAGAGGGCCAGGACGGGCTTGCCGAGAATTGACATCCACCATCCCTGCAGAGTGGGTATCGTGCTTGGGCTCCCTCTGTGCTACTGAGGGGCCCCTGCTGCCTCTCCCAGAAAGCTCTACTTTGCCTTTGAGGGCTGGTGGCCCTATCAGCATCTGCAATGGCAGAGCTGTACCGAGTGTTCAAGACACTGAGATGTCCCAGCCATGCCTTAAAATGGATTTTTAAAGAAACTTAGATTTATGTGATAAGCAAATGTCTAGTTTTATGGATTCAAAGTGATTGATGTTTTCTTTGTGATACTTTCCTTATTGCTTTCATGTGTAGGAGGCCCCTTATGGGTTTTCATTTTTTTTTCTTATTTTCGTATTTCATCTAGAATTTACTGTTGTCTTTAGTGTGATGTGAAGACACAAAGAACTAGCCAATTTTGCAATACCAAATGCAGATAATTTATCCATTCTCCATTGAGTTGGTTTAAGAAAAAAAAAAAAACTTTCTCTGGGTCACATGTTACCTTTAGGAGACACAACACCCAGGGCAGTTGGCATGAACACAATAATGACCAGCAGTGATGCAGACATGGAGTTTAGTCAGGCTAGGATTTCGCCAGTGGGTGAAAGCTCCCTGTACATCACACTGCTGGGAAAATTCTTACAAATCTCAACACAGCGATTCTTAAAAACCACATCGTTTCCCTCACTGGATGGCAGTCACATCAGGGCACTGCCTGGTTTGAGCTGTCTCCCCCAGATCTACTTGGTATATGATCCATGAACACCCCTATTGCTGGCAGCTGCGTTGCTGGCCATCCCCGTCCCCGTCAAGCAGCTCCAGGCCCCTGTGCTCTGTAAACAGGGTCGCTGTGTTTTCCAGCCCACTCAACATGAGTGCACCGTTTCTTTCCACTATTCAGTCTGTCTCTGTCCCACGGAGGAAATCTTTCCAGCATCATTCCCAGGAACAAACACACAAACACCTAAACCAGTCCACCCCGCAGGATAAGTGACACAGCTGGTGCTCAATTCAAATCCCAGAGACAAGCCAAGAGTCCAGTTTTGTTATGGAATGAGTCAGGGTATCTAGAGTAACAAACCCAAGCCAGACATGCGAGGTGAAGATGAAATACCACCTAATACATGAATTCTTTATTTTATTAGATACCACATAATCAGAATGACTTAAAAAAAGTGGAAGAAAGTCAGAGATATATAGAAAATAGTTGTATTAGCAAGTCATCTTCCAGAACATTTAAGCTGTGTGTTCATGCATCTTTTTATGTGTAATTCGTGCTTATGTTATATATGTAGACATATTACATATATTCATGGAAATAAATTACCAAGTGCTATAGCTATATGTGGGATTTAAGAAAAATATTTTTTTGTCTTGATCTCAAGAGGGGGGTTTACATGTAGACAGTTTGACCATTGGCCAGCAGCTTGAAGTATGGTTATATTGTCATGGCATCCAGTTGCTGATGACTTTTTCATAGCAGAATAAGGTTGTATTAAAAATTCTGAGAAATAAAAAAATACATAAAATAGGGGCTGGAGAGATGGCTCAGAGGTTAAGAGCACTGGCTGCTCTTCCAGAGGTCCTGAGTTCAATTCCCAGCAACCACATGGTGGCTCACAACCATCTGTTATGAGATCTGGTACCCTCTTCTGGTGTGCAGATAATACATGGAAGCGGAATGTTGTATACATAACAAGTAAATAAAATCTTAAAAAATACATAAAATATATAAACATACACAAACATACAGAGCACATACACATATGCTCTCTCTCTCCCTTGCTCTCTCTCTCTCTCTCTCTCTCTCTCTCTCTCACACACACACACACACACACACACACACACACACACACACACACACGAACTTCCTTAGTCAGCTAGAGGAGATTTACTCTGGTCTGAGTGTTTACATCCTCTGCACTAAACCTCACCCTCAGACATGTGGTCAGTAGGTGTGTCTTTGGGAGATCAGGCCTTGAGGGTGGGGCTCTCATGAATGGGCCTGGGTGTCTCCATAAGAGAGGCCGGAGTGAACCTCTGTGCTCTTCTTCCCTTGTGAGATGCAGAGACAAGGTGCCATGTGTGCAGCGCCAAACACCCGCACCCAGACTTGGTCCTCACCACACTGCTCTTGCTGGTGGCATCTGAACTCCTCTCCACTCCAGGTCACTCCTCAGTGCTCACTCACACAAACGGAAACTCTGCACACCCCAGCCCCCACTGAATGCTGGCTTCAGTGCTGTGTCTGACACCAGTGGCTCATCCTTCAAGCACACCTGTGACTATCTCCGTTTATTCCCAGACAGGGGTCATCTCCCTCTATGACTGTGTTTTTAAGAGGAGACTAGATTATAACCAGGAATTACATCGAGATGACAGAGAGCACGCCAAAAACCTGGGGCTTCATATTAATGAGGAGGTAAGATACACTAATGATGTTACTAGACCATCGACCATGCACACGTGTATGTACCCACACATACACATGTTCATGCATTCAGTGTGAATAAACGTGCGGGAATGTACACATATTTATGTGTGTATATGCATATACATGTATATTGGGTACACACTTATGTGTACATGACCATGTGCATACATGTGAATATACTGAACACGTGGATATATATACGTATGTGTGTGCCTGTGTATAATTTTTATACACACGTATTTATTTGTATGCATGCAAGATTTGCAGATATCTATGCATACACACATGTATGTTGCATATGTATGTACATGTATAAACATGTTGTTGATTTATCTTTATATTTGCATGTATATACAGGCTTACACATATATATGTGACCATATGCAAATATTTGACAATGTGCTCCATTGCTTTATGCAGATTTATTTATTTATTTATTTATTTAGGTGGCTTGTAGCTATTTTATTGTGCTAAGAAGTTAAGCTCCTCTTCTCTGACGTCAGTTTTCCATTAATTTTTCTGACTGGTCCTAGGGAACTGAACAATTTAAGGAGAGTAAAATTAGGAAGCACTTTTCAACAGATAAGAGTTCTTGGTCAGTTACAAACCGAGCCCAAGCTGCTGCTGCTTTTCTAGGGACACTGTTCTTTATTTCCCCCATCTAGTTCTCAAGTTCCCACCATGTGGGGTACAGATTTGCTTTGACTCCCCGGTCTTCTCCAAAGGGAGGAATTACCTGCAAAAGGGAGGTGACTGGCTGAGGTCACAGCAAGAAGACCGGTGCTTCCTCTCCTGGGCCAGGCTGGGCCCAGCCTGGTCTAAGTTAGACACTTGTGCCTTTTGACATGTTCCTCAGTTCTGAGTGAGAGTGGCAGGCTCTTTAAAGGCCAGGGACTGGGTATGCAGAGACTATTAGACAGCACATCACATGGACATTATGGCACACAAGCTTGTGGTGGGATTTCTATTGAGCCACTGGAGACAGCCCCCCACCCCCAGTGGCTGTTATTCAGATTGCCAAGTCTGGAGATGTGGCCGAGTGCTTGCTTCCCATGTGTGAGGCCAGTGGTCCCTGCCATCCCATCCCTTTTCACTCTCTTAATTTGAGCTACAGTTAAGAGACAAAGGCACCACAGCATCACCTATTTCACAGACATGCTCATGTCCGATGCATTCCGAGTTCCTACTTTCTGATGAGAAGGAGGCTCAGATGAGGTATTGTTTGGCGCTCTCCTCTCTACTGTGGAGCACAAAGTGACTTAGGAGCCAGCCCCCCAGCCTCTTAGAGCTGGATTCTGGCCAAGAGAGGAGCGAGCGGCAAAGAGACAAACTGTTTCCACATTGATGGACAACATGCCAGAAAGCCCTTCAAAATGTAGGGATAGTGAAGGAGATGAGTAGGCCCTGGGGAGGGGAGAGGTCAGGAAAGGCCTCTGGTGAAATTAAACAGGGTGAGTGGGAAGAAGACATCCCAGAAGCTCAAGGATGCTGCTCCGTGTGCCCGGGTGAAGAGGGGCTGGCAAGGGGTTGGCTGGGAGAGGGCAGGGGAAGGGGCAGAAGGAGGAGGGAGAGTCCCTGAAGTCAGACCACAACTGGTGCCCAGTTCAGGGTCTCCCGTCTCCTCCAGATAGCGGGGTGACAGTAGCAGGACTGGGGTCCCTGGCTGTGCAGCTGCAGATGTGCAGAATTCCACCTGGGTGAGGTGCAGCCGAAGGACAGGCCGCAGCGCTCTGGTATTGTGGGCAGAAAGGTTTCTGAGCTCACGACGGTGACTGCGTGTGTCTCATCTTCCCAGGAACAGGAAAGGACTGTGCCAGTACTGATGTCCTCTTTCTATGGGAAGCGCATCAATCAGCCCGTCGAGACCCTGAACAGAGGCCAGGGCCGTGTGAACCACGTGAAGACCGACTTCTACCGGAAGAACGACATCCCCAGCATCAAGGTGCCTGGCTTTGGGCACATCTCTCCAGCCTGATGTAGTCTTGGGGTGTACAGGGCACTTTGAGGTGTGCTGCCGGCTGAATAGGAGGGGGCGCCCTCCAACCTCAGTTCTCAGAACTTGGCCAAGTACTTTTTCTCATGCCCAAAAGCTCCAGTGCAAGGATTTTCCCTGGATTTATGTAAAATGATACCAACTGATTCATTCTGAGCCCCGGAATAAAAGAAAAGCTTGCCTTTCTTTGGCAGCAGCTGGGTTTGTTTTGTGTGCCGGCTTCCCACTTTGCGAGAATTCTTTGAGGAGGGGTTGACAAGAGCATCATTTGGGTCCTTCTGTGTCACATAGGGGAACCTCCATGCCCACATTGCAAACAACCCTTCTGTGTTTCTCTGAGATTGTAAAAAAAAAAAAAAAAAATGGCTCTTAACACGACAGAACTCTAGACACGACAGAACTCTAGACAGGATAAACTGAATTTTGCACAACTGAGAACTGAATGGGTGGCACTGTCACTCCTCCAGGGAGAAGCAGTCAAAGGTGCAGGACGCAGGGTGGATTCTGGTGTTGGACAGACTTAGAGAGAAGTCAGCCTGATGCGTTTTCTTTCTATTTGGTCTGCTATTTTGTCATCTTTAAGTGAAATTTCCAAAGGTAGACAAGTTTTCACGTGAATCAGAGTGCCACCCGAGTGGAGCCACGTGCTGTGTGCACATTCTCCAGCCCCGAAGGGATCCACACCCATGTTATTGTTACTGATGGCTTACACACTGTGCCACTGAGATCCAGCTCCAGTCCACTGCTTTCCTTTTAGGTAGTTTCCTCTTTTGGAAGCAACTGATTTTTAACCTGTGTGGGAAGTGTTTATTTTGCAAGAGAATTTGATGCACACTCAGGCACTAAGATATATTTTTAATGAATGGAGCTTCTGGAAGAAATCATCTCTCATATCCACCATGATTGAATTTTCCACAGTTGAGCATTAACTGGCAGGTGATCTAATTAATTTTGGTACTCAGTCACTGGTTTTGTTGTTCTGAATCTGCAAGGTGATTTCTCTAAGGACACACAATCCTGAACTGCTGGCAATTTCAAGGCCGAGTAACTCTTAAATATTTATCTTCTGAAAAAATTTTCAGTGTTGTTGCTCTTTTCCTCCCAAATAAATAGCAATAGTTTATGTGCTCTTGGGCACATGATAACGTATTAGTAATAATATAAAAGCATATGAAAAATATGGGTTATAAAATTTATTCTTATAACTAAAATCTATAAGCAGATGAAATAAATTAATGTCAAACTAAGTTATTTTTTATTACTTCAGCTCCTACACCTTTAAACTCTTTGCTCTCTTTTGTTCATTTTGATCTTTCTTGTCTTTTCTCCCCCCCCCTCTCTCTCTGTCTCTCTTTTCCTTTTTTTGAGACAGGGTCTTGTAGGGCTCAGGCTGGCCTCAAACTCATGGTGAGGATGAGCATGGCCTTGATCCTCTGATCCACCTGTCTTCTTCCCTCAAGTGCTGGGGTCAAAGGTGTGCACAACCCCACCCAGCATGCTGCTTGCTTTTAAAAAGGGATGGAATCAATCAAGGTTTCCAAAGGTCTCACCTATAGTAGGCAGCCAAGGAAAATCAAATGGGTTTCTGTTGGCTTCCCAACGACTACAGCCAGTAAATGGAAGCAAGTCACAGATATCGTTAGGGGAGACATCATTTTGTCTAAAGGTTTCTTTTCAATGGTGAGTATGGGCGTATGTCTGTGTATGGTCATGTGCTCAGCAGCTGGTGCTGGCTGAGGACAGAGGAGAAATGTCACATCTCCTGAAGCCAGACCCACAGGCAGCCTTTAAGCACCAGACCTGGATGCTGGGAAATGAACCCAGGGTCTCTGAAGAAGCAGTGAGTGTTATCGACTCCTGAACCATGTCTCCAGCCTGGAGAGCACACTCCTTTACTAACAGAATGTGTTTTCACTCATCAAATCCCCACTGCTATTTGTTTGATGTTGGTTCCTGCATATGCCTGTTGGCTAGGAAGCAAAGGAAGGCAGAGAGATATGATAGCACTACCTTCAAAAAGCTCATTAAGGAGGCAGAGAGAACCCTGGAGGACTGACTGACAGCACACCTTGGTCTGCCCAGTTACATTAAAGCGCAGGAGTTGGGGAACTGGATTGAAGTTTTTCGGGAGAGGCTTCCCATAAGGCTAAAAGGTGAGGGGGTTGCTTGAGAAGGGGCTTCACATGGCTGATGCTGGTCTCTGTAACTCCTCTGATTTGCATGTTTCTAAGGATAATTTTGTTCCTCAGAAGAACACTGGGGTTCCTCAGAAGCTCGAAACCAGGCTGCTTCCGATTTGATAGAATAGGCAGTTTTCCCCCTTTGGCAGTGCTGTGGTCACAGAGCAGCCATCAGACTGGGAGCCACAGGCTGGATGTCTCTGCCCCTATCTCCAAATTTATAGTTGACACGGAGGGAGTCTTAAATTGGGACGGTGATCCAAAACACCTGGGAAAGTTTGAATGTAACATGTGGAGGGTAGTCACCTGGGAATTTGTAAACATGGGCTTCGCCAGATTTCTTCAGGGGTTCAGGTTTGGGTTGAGAATATGCTGGCTGAGATCCCACCCTGAGAGGCCTGTGTGAGCCCAGAGCTGTGTAAGGCACACACTGATAATGACCTTTGCTGCTGGCAAATTTTTATTGATGCTTCAGACAGGTAATTAGCTCCGGCCCCTGCCCTCCCAGGTTCTTTTCTCCACAATGACCCGTCTACTGTCTCTCTGGGGGGCTGTTTCAGGAAACACAATGGAACAGCTACTTACCAGGGCATGGCAGCCTAGAACAACCTGGGTGTGAGACGCAAAGAAGGAAAGACACAATGGACACACCTGCTGATGGCTGAACTCACTGGCACCTCCAGCATGCTAGCCTAGGTTTTGGTTAGAGGAAAGAGGGATGCCCTAATATCAAGGCTCTCCCTTCAACTACCATTTGGAGACTTAACCGTATTAAAGCCAATCAAACCGAATGTGATTACAGGATCTCAAAATGCCCGACTGAGACGGAAAATCGAAAGGTCACACTGTATTCACACTGGGGTGTTGAAGGACACTGTGAGTCGCATCCTGGCATGGCAGCTGTTTGTGCTGTGAACATAATGGTGAGAGCATGCTGGATACTGCCAAGCTCTCAGAGTCATTAGCTCATTTAATCACAACCGGATCCCATGGGCTTGCAAGGAGGTAAAGACTCCTAAGAGGAATTAGGAGATGTGCTCCAAGGTGTGCAGCCAGGAGTCGAACTGGAGGCTTGGGCTTCACGCCTGGGTGTCCACTAATCAGCTGTTTCCTGGCAGCCTGTCTGGGTCCTCTGATTCCTCCAGATGCCTCATCTGAACTAAAAGAGGAAACCAAGTTTGCCCAACCAGCCTGCTATTTGCGACTTTTTCTTCTTCTAAACATTTTTTAAATGCAAAATTTCTCTCTTTCCCATCATTTGGCAAATTGTAATTTCTTTAGGTTAAAGGAAGAAAGAAAAATAAATAGCCAAGCCCAAGCAACTTCAGAGTTGGATTTACAGTCCAGGTCTTCTTAAGCCTCCTCAGACATCACAGGCAGCTTGTAAACTTAGCAAAGCCTCTCAAGCTACTTCAGGCCATTGTAGCTCTTGATTGACACAGCCGATTCCAAATACTTTTTGTTTGACTGTGCCAGCCCTGGCAAGGTATTGCCCTTCACAAGGGTCCAGTAGGCATACAGGGCTGTGAGGCTTGTAGTGACTTTTGATTGTTTAAATGGTTCTCGGAAGGTAGCACAAAGTAAGCCCAGACCCTCAGATACACTGGGCACAGACTCTTTCCTCCCAGACAACCATTTCACAACTTACTGCATTACACACTTTGTCGCTGTCTCCACCATGCAAGGGTATGTCTCATCCCTACCTTCTGGGCCGTTTCCAAAAAGGGAGAGAGATGGAAAACAAACTCTCTCTCATTCTGGACCATATCATAGAAAAAAAAAAAGGAAAAGAAAAAACGCAGCACCATAAACCAAAGTACATAAAACTTTAATGAATTAACCTTACAAAAGACAAATGGCATCAAAACATCAGACGAATTTGGTACAAAACCGGTCCTAGGCTTCGAGGACTAATTCTGGTGATGGATGACAATGTGCCGACGCCACAGGACAACAGAGCAAGGTGACAAGGGCTGCGAGTCCCAGCCGAGGCCCACAGATGACCGCTGGTAACGAGCCACGTGGGTAGGTGAGCACAGACTCCGTGCTGGGTGACAGGATCAACTTATTCACAAATACTGTGTGTTTGAATATCAGACTAGGGATGCAGTTACGAGCTACTGTATTTTCCAGACAAGAACATGCACCAGAAGATAATGTATACCCCCCAGTTTTATTGCCTTAAGAATTTGTGTTCATTCCGCCTCCCTCTTCACCACTTCTTTAAATGGTCTCCTTCTAGGACACGTTCCTTTCTCCGTTCGCTTAGGAGTAAGCACAGTGCGAGTGGCAGGACAATCTGGGCAAACGCCAGACACCAAACAGTATGCCACGGGGTCACAGGAACTAGTCTGCAAGGGCTCCAGATGATGGGACAGAGCAGGTACATCGAAACGAGGGGACAAAGGCTGCAGTCAGAAAGTGCGTGGTACCCTCCTGCAAGCACACCCTTCTCGCCAGGAAGGGACAGCTTTTCAGGATGCCAAGTTGCTCTGAGAAAGGGACCTTGACATCTCTGTGTTTACAAAGTACGTCTTCAGGTCCCCCTTCCCCTTCACATTGATGATGCCTCGACACGTGCATGTGTAGCCAAGTGTCTGCAGGATGACGCTTGTCTCCTCAGTCACCTGCAGGCCACAGGAACAGACACAAACAGATTACTTCCCAAGCCAGTGAAACCACTTCAAAGAGGCTCTCTGTTTCCCTCTCCGAGAATTCCATTCCTGAGAAATTAATAGACAAAGAAATCTACCAGAAAACATTAGTCAATAATGTTTAATTTAGTGCCAGTATGGAAAAAAAATGGAAAGAGCCTAAACTGCCAAGTAATGTCCAAAGTTAAGTCACCTGTGGCTTATGGGGGAGGGATAACTAATACTAAATACCCTGGAAAAACCATATGAAGGAGCTCTACTGTAGACACTTCTTAAAGTGTATATACACTTTTGAGTTTAGACGGATTTACTCTATAATGAGGGGGTAGGTGACAAGACCTCTCCCAGACACCACAGGGTATCATGTAAAAACCTGGTCATGCCTTTTTGAGTTGGTGGTGGGGGTCCTGTAGAAAGACATTAAAGGTCATTGCCATTGCTCCTGGTAATCCTCCAGAACTTGGTGCAGACCTGAAAGCTCCATCCCTACTGGTTAGCTAGGCATGATACCGGTGGAGACAACCAACCAGCCAACAACCAACAGTCTTACTTAGCGATGAACACTGCAATCTACAATGACTGAGCTGGCAAGACACGCCCACTGGTACATGTGACCCACAAGGCGGAACTCACACGTGGTATCGTTAAACTGTGCCAAACAACTGTGGTTGGTAGGTCACGGCTCTAGGGAGAACCCAATACTGTCATTCTGCTAAACGGATGTAGAATACATTGCCCCCTGAGCTCTTGTCATTCTACCCATTAATTACCGCACCTCTCAACCACCGTCAGAGAAGCTTCATTTTCACTAGACGACGATGAGCACAGAGAATTGCAAGTGGCAGACACACAGAGAATAAGAGCTGTGAACTGCCGGGCTCTATATGGCATCTCCATATCCCACCTCCTGCCCCAAGGCTCAGGGATCATGGCAGAAGAGTGGATGGAAGGGCCGCACTGGCCAGAAGCAGTGGGTGAGCACAGGGAAACAGCGCTCTCTGGACACAAGAGGGCAGCTTCAATCGAGTTCGGAATTGCCTTGTCTGCATGTACAAGACCTGCATAGGACCAAGCCGTACAACATTCAGAATGGAGGCGGGAAATAGGGTGTACAATTTGGTCACATTTGGATGTAAGCAGAGAGGGGGGCTTCTGGATGAGAGCCAGCTGCATTCCCAGAGAGAAGCCTGCCTGGTGCCAGCATCAGTCTCTGAGTCAGCACAAGCAGCAGGCTTTGCAAACTTTCTGTTCCTACAGAGATCTGCCCTAGTTCCTCCTCTGCCTGTATGTGGAGATGCACTGGACCACACAGAGTGTTAGTGAGACAGTCCCACAGAGTCACTCAAGACACTGTCATGTCTGCAGTGACTTACAGCCAAATTGGTTTTGATGTCTACACCAAGGACTTTAAAATTGCCAGGAGACTAGTCAAGCATATTTTAAAGAACCATCAAGTCCTGAACGTTCCAAGAGTGGAGAGAGAACACAAGTTTTCCAGAAGTGTGAAAGGGTGTCTTTGGTAGAAGTGTGGTGTTCCTTCTACACCTAAAAGGAACCTCCATGTTGTCTAGGACTGCTAACATCCTTTGGCATTGGCTATTGACACTCATGGAAAAAGCACTACAGGCCTTGGTGCTATGGAGACACAGACTTGGCTGCTCAGATGTTGAGCTACTCTTGGTGCACTGCTGCGTGCTCTTCACAGACAATGACCAGCCCCAGACCCCATCAGACCCCAAACCAGGCTACCAGGCAGAGGGGACATGACAAGAATAAAGGTTACTTGACTTGGATCTTGTGAGCATGGCCAGCTGTCTCTGTTCCCACAGCAATAGCCAGCTGGGTTGGCAAGGCCTGGAGGACCTGGTTTTGCCATCTTACTACTACCCTTCTATGCCTTTGCCTTGACTCTGTTGGGCTGTTGATGGTTTGACTCAAGTGAGAGGAGATGAGCACTGCAGAAAAGTATTTGCTCCATTAATTAAACATCGAAGTCAAAGCTGTCCTTCAGAATGGCAATTGAGATAAACTCCGATTGGGCTGAACAAGATGGAATGCTATGCCAGGCAGGTGATCGAGAACAGGGTGAACTAAAACCCTCCCTGTTCTTGATGACAGCAGAATGCATTTTTTTTTCTTTTTTGGCAGCGCTGAGTTCAAATCTAGGGCTTTGCACATGCAAAGCAACACTATAAAATTCTAGGAGGCAAGGACATTTGAGGAACCTTATACAAGCTGAGGTACACAGCATGGGGAGTTATCAAATCTTACAAAGGACAAACATGACAAGGTCTACTATGTATATCTAGTTATTTTCATGCAAATTTGCCACGTAGCCAGAATTATCATAACAATACATAGCTGGGATGAGATGTGAAACCACTTATTTTTGAGAATGAGGTCGGGAAGTTGAGCATAAATATGCTTATGCATGACACATACTTATGAAAAGCATACATGGATGCACACACATGAAAGCACACACACATACATGCATGATAAATGCACATGCACACACAAATGCAAGCCTATATGTACATGTATGCACACACATGCACACATTAAAAATGCACATGCCCATGCACACATGCACAAGAACACACACACACACACACACACACACACACACACACTTCTTTCTCAACTGGAGAGATTAGCACCTCATCTCAGATGCCAGACACTATGCTTGAGCAGCCACATGCATTCTGTGGGTTAGCAATCAGCTCATTTAGTCTGATCATTTGAAGGCAGTTTGGTTCTCAACAATCTATAGTAGTGAAACAAATTCTGGAGAAGGCAAGTAAGAACCATAAAGCGTAGGTGTCCCAACTCTTCAGGGAAGCTCCCTACCCCTCTTTGAGGGACAAATGGTAATGGTAGTGTAACATGCTGCTGTAATGGCAGACTTCAGAAAGGCTTTTTTTCCAGTACAAACATATGAAAAATAAAATCTACTATAGTTTAATCAAAAGACATGAAGTGATTTGAACATGGGGTTGATGATGGGAATAAAGAAGATATTCTCCATATACAACTTAAACAAAATTTCCACAGCATGGCACAAAGCTGACTGTAATTTTGCTACAAACACAGTTAAAGCTACATCTAAACCTTGGGAACACACTTCTCATTCTATAGACATTGTGTGAAAGTGTAAAAGCTTAAAAACATGATGTCAGGGCTGAAGACATTGGTCAGTGGTTATGAGCATAAGCTATTCTTACAGAAACCAATCGTGATTCTCAGCACCCTCAATCGCATGGTTCACAGGGGATCGGGCATCTCTGGCCTCTGCAGGGACTTTCACTTACAAGCACATATCCACATTGCCTGCCCCACACATTCACATGTATAAAATTAAAAAAAAAAACAAAAATATAGAGAGGCAGAATTGTCATCCTTTGTTGTTATTCTATTGTTTCTTAGATCTTATTTCAAATATTAGAACGGACAGCAGCCTCCTGTGTTCTCTTCTGCACAGGCCAGTGCCATTAATTTTCTCCCCTAAAACAAAAGGGACTGTCTTCCTCCTCCATGGGCCACTTTCTAATCACGCCCACCCCTGTTTTCCTTCTTTCCCTTCAGTGGCCTCATACCTTTCCTCTACTGCCTCTGTCTTATGGGTGTTGCCCATTCTCACCAAAGGGGGTAAAGAAAAGAAGAACTAAAAGGTGTGTAGTAGAGAGCCAGGCCAGTGCCATCAAGCTCTCTGCAAGCGATTGCAAGCGCCTGCTCTGAGACACTTCTGGGAGGGAAAAGCTCATGATCTCATCAAGGACTAAGGACCCCTCCCACTCCTTTTTGGGTGGCTTGGGACACCAGGTCTCTGCACAAGGCTAGAACTTAGGACAAAGTCCTTAACCTTTGTATATCACAATCTGAATAATGTTTAAATTTCTAGTGTTGCCTGGGAAAGAGGAAGTGCAGGTCCAAAGCATCTACAGTCCGGGGCTATTTTAGCATCCCAGCCCTCCATTGAAAAGTCGATCTTAACATCATTTAGGAACCAGACTTGGGATCAGAACCCCCAGACACTTCAGCATTCCTGATATGATCAAGGACCTTTCTGGTTTATGACCAAGTACACGAAATACACAGGTTAGGTCCCTATTCCTAATTGCCCATTCGTCTCACTTATATCTACTGTCATCACCCCAGTCTTTGAGATGGTAACTCCAATTGCATTCAGGGATGTCTTACAATCATGATGAATTGGATCACTGGATATGGGAGTTGGGGTACCCTTTCCTATCTAAGAAACATTGAAAATACATCAATTGTTACATTTGTCTAGTAGCCAGGAAGGCAGATAGGATGTCCTTGACTAGTGCCCAGATGGAGTGATGAGGGAGAAGCTCCCCACTGTGTTTGAAAGTAACTTTGAATTAACTCTCCTTTCTGGTCTGTTTGCTCACTTTCCATCCTGCAAAGGTCATTATGGTTCAAACCATGTCCCCTATAATGATACTGTCATGTTTGGGACCACCATGCGCCCATTGTCTCCAATGCAACACTGTTCTACAGTGTGAGGGCACTTGGTGACAAACATGTTCCCTGCTCCAGCCATAGTTCACAGCTCAGCATATGAATGGGGCCAAGAATTAAACGAGCTAAAATGTCAATGCTAGGGGACACAGCCACCTTCGGGATAGCCTCCAGCCCAACTTTTGTGCTCTCTGTCTTGACTGGGTTGTCCTTTCACCCGACACTGACCACTGCTCAACTAGGGAACTGGAGAAATCTCATCACATTTCCTATAACAGGTTTTTTTCTCATTATCTTTCCAGTAATTTATATTCTTTTTCTCCTCTAGAATATGATTAGTGCTCTTCTAATTAGAGTTACTTTAACCACGGCTAAAATTGATTTAATGAGCAGCGGGAATATTAACATGGAATGATTTTATTTTTTCCAGTCGTTGCTTTAATTTGTCAGATGTTGTCTTTCTCTCCCTTGGGTGGATTGTAGAGATTTGGGGTCATTTAGAGCTCTTGAAATATCATGCTAGGCTGATTTCATTCTGTCCTTTTATGTCAATCTTACTTTCCCTTCTTTCTATGTTCCAGTCTTCATGCTTCTTTTCTCTAATTCTACACTCTCCCTTTCAGGAAGTCAGGCTTGCCTGTGCTTTGAGCTGCAGACCTTTCCTACAAAGTCTTTATATGTGTGATGGGGTCAGAAAAGGGCCTAGTTCAGGAAGGCACTCAGTACAGCAGGGCACTTTTCAGGCCCCCAGGGCTCTGGGCCACCATCCTGCCATGCAGGTCACTTCTGGTCAGAGGATTGTCTTTGTAAGGCCCACTGCCTTCACATCATTAGAATCTGGTTGGTATCATTCCTAACAGTTAAGGCAAAAACTAACATTTTCCCTATAAAGGGTTTAAGAAATCTCAAAGTTTACCCATTTAAATGTTTGTTTTAATTTATTATTATTATTATTATTATTATTATTATTATTATTATTATCTTTGATGGTTCCTAAGAGAACCAAGGGTGGCTGAGAAGAGACTGCATTACCTGTATTTTGTCCAGGACCCCAGTGCTGTCCATCCTGCTGGCGACATTGACAGTATTGCCCCAGATGTCATATTGTGGCTTCTGAGCTCCTATGACACCGGCTATTACAGGTCCATGATTGATACCTGTAACATGTCAGAACTAGGTTAGCAAGACTCTACTTGCAGCAGGTGTCCTAGGTCAGGAAGCTGTCCGAAACATGCTTGAGACATCATTATTAAACAAATCTTAACCAGACCCATGGACTCTACACATCAGAGTCCAGAGCAACTCCATTTCTATCATCTTAAGATGCAACTGCAATTGTGCTGTCAGTGTCCCTTAAGATCTCGACCCATGTTTGTAATGCTGTTGTCCATCCTCTGTTATAAGACGGTATGCTTCAGAAAACCAAGATCATGACAAATTGTTTTTCTTGGTGTCGCAAAAGAATCTTAGGTAAGAGATCATCACAAGACTCTTCCAAAGTTCATAACTAATACAAGTTTTTGTCTTGTTTTGTCTTTTTGGAGACAGTCTTGTAGCTCAGACTGACTTCAAATTTCAAACCCTCCCATCAAGTTCTTATATTAAAGGTGTGAACTACCATGCCTAATATAGTTAATGTTAATTTCCAAATACATTTTAACTGTGTACCCTGAGTGGATGAACTCATCATACCTCACCACCCTTTTGCCGACAATATGGCAGACATAGTGGCCACCAGAGCCACATTATTGAGGATGAGGACAAGTATGAATCCATGAGATGGGTGAGGATTAGGGTCAATGTGGACCCATGAGGAAGGTGAGGATGAGGATCAGTGTGGACCCATGATATGGGTGAGGATATGGACCAGCATGGACCCATGAGGAGGATGAGGATGTGGTTTGAGACTAGTAGCTGCAGACAAGACTTGGGAAATTATTGTTCTAGATACAAGCTTTCTGAATTATTTTCAGCAATGAATGACTTCCCACAATGGGCATTTGCTGAATTCCTTTCTTCTGATTATTGGACAACTTACTCTCTCTGTTTAGCCTACACATCAGCTCTCTTAACCAGAGTTTCACTTGCCTTTGAGTCCCCCTTACCCATGCCTCCAGGCTCTCCCATCTCATGGGTAGACTACTGGTTCACTGGGTGATTTTTAGATTTATCAGGCTGTCTAAAAATATATGAAGTCTTGATCTAGGGATCAAGAGGCATGTTTAGTGTGGACTGTTGGCTGACAAGGTCATGTTCTGGTCCTCTTCCCCCCGACTTTTGTGTTTGTAGAGTCTAGATAAAGGCTCACCCATACAGAAGTGTTACAGTATAAAGGACAAGATGTTCAGACACTGACAACTACCAGTATGCATCAAGAAGAGCATCTCATTTGCCACCAGGAGTTTTAAAAATTCAGGTCGCACATACAGAGGAGGAAGAAAATAGCTTCAAATATCCAGATTACCAGCAACCCCCAGTAGAAATCTATATTCAAAGTAAAGTAATAAACCACACAGATGGATCTTGACACAAGAACTGCTTGTCTGTGGACTAACGGAAGAAGCAAAATGTGTTGCCAAGAAAGCAAAAAAAAAAAAAAAAAAAAGTTGTTAAAGAAGTTCTTGCAAATCATGAATCCCTGAAGGCACTGCGCATATATTACAGGCCAGCTGTGCACTAAGTTGATGGCTTCAAACACTGATTTTTTAAAAGTAAGAAGGCAAGTCATGATGGAACATGCTAAATGTCAACTTAAAATTTGTTAAAAAAAACTTTGCAGAAATCAAGATTTTTTTTTTCTCAGCCAATTAGAAGTTATGATTTTTTTTTAACTACTAAACATTTCTCCAAGGATTAAAAAAAAAATTTGAAAAACTACCTGGGACACACAGTTCTTGAAGACTGTGCCCCTATGGACACAGGACTGGAATGAAGTAATTCTAACATGTATATTTTGTTTTTGATTTGTTTGATTCTTTTTGAGACAGACTCTCATGTCGCCTAGGCTGGCCCTGAACTGTGCAGCCACTGGGGATGGCCTTGAACCTCATGCTTGAGTCCTCCTGTTTCTAGCCCTCAGTGCTTCAATTACATATACATGCCACTACCCTCACCGCTAGGATTGCTTATCTCTGATACTGATGCGAAAGCAAGTTGATGGCCGGTCATTAGTAACAGCAAAGTAAGGGCAGCTTCCATTCACTAGAGCGCCAGCAAGTGAAGAGTTCTATGCTAGGCAAACCCCCAGCTGGCTGGCTGGAGGCTCTGGGGACTAAGGTACAGCTCCGGTTCCACCTGCTGAACCACACTTCTGTTCCTTGAGTTCACCCAAAAGGAGTGTCTCTTTGCAAATTGCACAAAAGTGATTCTGGGGCTCACAGCCTCCCTATACCCTTCTGTATACGGCCATCCTCATGGCACTAATGCATTTCTGAGTTCAGCTTCACTATAACCAGGGACCCCCACTGATTCCTGAGGCTTTCTTCTTCACCCCAGGCCTTGCGCAACATACCCACTCGCAGTTTGAAGTCGTTGAAGGAGTGTTTATTGATGGCATCCAGTTTTGCCACTAGGGCATATGCAAACTCCACCATGGTGCCTATGTGCATGTACTGACGCTCAGGCTCCTGAAAGAGAGCAAAGACATTCAGACTGGGTTGGGACCGCAGAATGATGTCATCACCCAGTCACAAGCTGGGCCCCATCCTGAAGGGAGGACTCACACCTTTATGAGACCCCATGGAAGAATTAAATCTCATCTCAAGGAAATGTTTGATCTGAGTCCACTGTTGGGGCCAAAGCATGACATGAACCTCTGGAACACATTGTCCCAGTATCCCAGGCACACTCAGGAGAAAGCACCATGGCCTATCACAGCTCTGCATTGTTCTACCCACAAGGCACCAGTACCAGCCAGCTCTGAGGACAGGGGCTCCTCATTGTCCAATAACCAACCTTATCCAGTCTGGCCCAGCCAAGAGCCCCTCTCTCCTTGCCTTTCTCTAGCTCCTGAGTGGGAGCTCCATGGAATCTGAGAGGGCCTACTTTGATGATAGAGGTCTGCTCTCACAATTAAGAATAATCCCACCCCTCCCTGATGGCAGCTGTCAGTCACCCCATGGCAGCTTTCCATGACTCTGGTAACGCATGCCTTACTTTTGTCTCTCTAGGATTCAGGGCGGGCATGCTGTGAACTGAGTCTTGTGTGGAAGTCCTAACCCCAGTCCCTCAGAATGTGACACCTTATCTTTGGAAACAAACCTTGAAATAGGTCATTTAGAGAGTTTACTCTAGATTGAGCCTTAACCTGCAGGATGGACATTCTTGTATGAGTAGCTCAAGATCAGATGTTCACAGAGGGGCAGCCACAGAAGGGCTGAAGGAGAAGCCTCCATAGACAAGACCAGGACAAAAACCTCAGGAGAAAGTAGTCCCAGAAACACCTTGATTTTGAACTTGCAGCTCCAGAATAAGGTACCAGTCTGTGGTGTCTGTCAGGAATCCATGCAGACTAACACAGGGACTCCTGACTTCATTCACCTCAGAATGTTTCATGAAACACTCAACAAGATGGCAAGTTTATTTTTTACTTTTTCTTGCCATATATTTAATAAAGTTACTCATTTAAAAACAAAACCATTGGTATGGCAGACCATTCTCCATGTCATATGTAAGATGACCTTGGGTCTCTCTCCATAGATGAGGAAGATGAAACCAACTCTCAGAGGTTCCACAGGATTAGGGGGAAGAACACAGAGACAGTGAACATCTGAGGTAATGGAGTGGAGATAACCAAGGGCGCAGCCAACAGAAAGAGGACAATGACAAGGGGGTTATTTGGTAAATCAGCACAGCTGTTGAATTTGAAAACAGAGTGGCACCTCAGTAAAGCCGGCTCACACCTGGGCTCTATTGATTGGGTGGAATGACCACCTCATTCTGCGGTTTTCCTGGGCGCCACACAGTGTTTACTTCTATTGCTACCTCTAACCACTGATGCTAATGGCATTTTCTATCTCTAGTTGAAATGACCAAAAGCTGTCTCTGGATATGGACAAATGACTCCTGGGGGGAGGGATGGTGAGCCAGACAGAAGATTATTCCTAGTCGAGAATGGCTGCAGTGAAACTAAATGTGAATGGACAAGAGGGTCTAAGTTTCCCATTAAGAGAGAAAGATTTCAATTCCTCAGCTGAACATCATTCTAGAAGAAACACACAAACAAGATGATACTATTACCATTGTCTTAGTTAGGATTACTACTGCTGGAATGAAACACCATGACCATAGAACTTGGGCAGGAAAGGGTCTACTTGGCTTACACTTCCACATCACTGTTCATCATTGAAGGGAGTCAGGGCAGGAACTCAAAACAGGGAAGGAACATGGAGGCAGGATCTGATGCTGAGCCCATAGAGGGGTGCTGCCTACTGGCTTGCTTAGCCTGCTTTCTCATAGCACCCAGGAACACCACACAGAATGGCCTGGGCCCTCCCCTGTCAATCACTAATTAAGAAATGTCCTACAGCCAAAACCTATGGAGGCATTTTTTCAAATGTTGCCTCCTGTCGGATAACTCCAGTCTCTGTGAAGCTGATGCAGAACCAGCCAGCGCAAGTATAAATCCTTATAAACGATTCTGAAAGAATAGTCAAACTATGTCAGTTGGACCCAAGAAACAGTTTTGAGATAACCTTGGTGAAAATACAAGTGTTTCTTCTTCATCCTCATCCTCCTCATCCCCGTCCTCATCACCATGTATGTATGATGCGCATGTAGGGGAACATGTGTGGACAGCTTAGTGGAGTTGGTTCTTTTCCTTCCACGTTTACACAAACTCTAGGGATTGAACTCACTTCCAGGCTTGCAGAAGAGCTTTCACCTTATGAGCTACCTCATCAGACCATGATGCTACTGTTTTTTTTTTTTAAGTACAGAGGCTCATGAGGAGCTAGGGTTCAAAGCTTGTGCCATGAGGTGAACACACTTTGCATTTTAACAGGGCAACAACATCATGGAAGATCTCAAGTGGTAAAACCAAAACTGTGTATGGAGGAGGTAATTTTTTTTTTTTTGGAAAAATAGATTGTGTTCTGCTGAACCAAGACGCAGCACAGACCGCTTGATAGGTACTCATGCAATTGGTTAAAGCTGGAGGTTTTAAGTGACCTCAGTAGTAAGGTAAGGTTGAGTCCTGGAAGTAGGGTTCCACAGTTCAACAGCTCATGTGGGCTCAGCGAAACCTAGGAAAAAATATACACAATCCGGAGGAAGAACTCAAATCTTCCTGAAAGCTCTTGGTAACTGAGCCCTTGATACATACTTGATGGCAGGATGGAGCAGCCATTTCTCCTCTGACTCATAATTTCTAGTGGATATGCCCAGCTACCCAGAGAGGACACATGTGGTTTCTGGAGTGCATACCTTAAGCTGGATGTTCTGAAAACTTGACTAACAAGGGACACCAAGAAGCCATGCCTACTGAGATTTAAAAACGCAAGTGACTTAAAATGATCCCCTACCCCCTCTCCATCAGCCACTTGCTGTGTGACTATGTGCTATGCTGGGAAACTTCTGGTATTCAGATTCCAACTGCCTTGGTTTTTGCAGGGACTCAGGATGTCACCTTAGGAGGAATTGTTCTCTACTTGGTGTTCTCAGGGAGTCTGACCATACCTCTCAGTTTTCTGCAGTGACCCCGCCTTCCAGGTGAGCAGAGGGCTGTGTGCTGTTATCCCCAGCTTACCCAGGAGAAGGTGCTCTGTGACTCCTGCCCGAGTCAAACCAAAGCAGTCTCAAACTCTAGGTTCTCCAATCACTGGACATGTGATTTCTGGGTGAGCCACTTAACTTCGCTGAGCTTTGCTTTTTCTCACTTACAAAGTAAGGCAAAAACTAAGCATCTCATAGGGTTTCAGTTAACATGAAACATATGTCTAATTGGACATACAACAGGTCTGAAATCATGCCTAGCACTGGGAACTCAGCCAACTATCCATGACTAGTGAAGTCATGGAACTTAGAAGAGAACATAATGTCACTAGGCCAGCATAATTCCTAACATTATGAATAGTTATCCTTATTTCTACAGCTAACTGTAGCTGTTAACCCTCATCAAAGGAACTTCTCTTTGTAGTAGAGACCATCACAGAAAACCACCATGGATCAAAGTACAGAAAAGAGCTGATCCTGTGGTGCCCAGTCCAGCAGATACATCTACAATACAACTTCTGCATTTGAGACTCAGAGGACATCCAAGAAGATGGGGAGGAAATATCCAGACCAGGAAGTCACTGTGAGATTGTATTGCCTAGAAATGACAGGGAAGCCTCACCCATGATACCTCAACAATATGGCTGAACCATGACATCACCAAAGACATGATAATATGGAAGGGGAAATCTTATGGGGCTTCAACCCTAAACAAATACAGGCTGCCAATGACCACTGAGAGGAGGAATAAGTCCTCCTCAGGAATGAGGCCCCTAATTGGTTCTCCAATACTTAGTGGTCAGCTCTGAAATCATATGCATACAAGCAACACTAAACAGACTCAGAAGGTTGTATTTAAACGTGTGTGTGTGTGTGTGTGTGTGTGTGTGTGTGTGTGTGTGTGTGTAACAATGAAAAGTGGCCATGAATTTGAGAGGGAATAAGTGGAGAACATGGGGAGGTGTGGAGAGGGAAAGGGAAGGGAGAAATCGTGTAACTATATTTTAATTAAAATAACTTAAAAAGGAAGCAAAATGATGAAAGCACATTTACAGGTGATGTGCTCAGCATGCATCCCTGGAGCTTAGCTAGGGTTTGTCTGGTTTCCTTATCGACAGTGTAGAGGAGGCATCATGTCACCCGATGAGAGCAACACCAAGGGGGGGGGGTCTGTAGAAGTGTTATCTTTTCATAATTGTGATAAACACTTGACATAAACAATGTGATTGTTAGCTATAACTGTCAACTTGACACAATCTGAAGTTACCTAGTAAGGGAGTCTCAGTGAGGGATCAGGTTGGCTTGCAGGGGACGATGGTCTAGATTATTAGGAAAGCCTGTCCACTGTGAGGGGCACCATCCCCTGGGAAGGGCATTCTGGATTGTACAAGAGTGGAAAAGGTGGGAAGAATGTTAGCATGCATTCATTAATTTGCTGCTCCCTGCTGTTGACTGTGGGTGTCATGTGACCACTTTGACTTTCCCACAGTGATGGTCTGTGATCTGGAAATGTGAGCTAAACAAACTCTTTTTCTCTTAAGTTGCCTCCCACCCCCAAGTATTTTATCACAGCCACAGGAACACTAAGACAAACAACTTACAGTTTTTTTTGGTAACAGCTTTGGAGAGTTCAGTCCACAGTCACTGGGCCCTGTTCCTAGGCAGTGCCTAATAGGGCCATGCACAACAGAGGAGCTACTCACCTCATGGTGACTGGAAGCAAAAATTGAGAGGAAGGTGCTGGGTCCTAATATTTCCTGCAAGAACAGTTTTCCACAGATCTGTCTCCTAAAGGTAGTGCCACCCTTCAGCACAGCAACAGGTGGAGACTAAGCCATTACCAGACAACACTTGGGGAAACTCATCAATACCAAAGCAGGGAGCTGCCTTCATGTGGCCTAATCTGAGACTTTTC